TTATGATTGTATAGAATTATTTACCAAAAAGGAAATATTGAAAGGTATAGAGGCTGTATTTTGTGAAAAGTGTAATAAATCAACAAATAGATCTAAAAAACTTGATATTGTATATTTACCAAAATATTTTATTGTACATCTCAAAAGATTCTGCTATTATAAAGGATATGAAGAAAAAATAGGAATATTTATAGATTTCCCGTTGGAAGATTTAAGAATTGGAAATTATAAATATAATTGTCGAGCTATTTGTAATCATTATGAGTTAGGAGCAGGAGCAGGGCATTATACTGCATATATAAAAAGAGAAGAATGGTATTGTATGAATGATTCTATTGTGATGAAAATTAATGATGTTAAAAAAGAAAATGCTTATATTTTGTTTTATGAAAGAGAAGAATAGATTATAAAATATTTTGTTTTTTTATTAAATTAATTTAGAAAATATTTTATGGATTTTTTGAATTATAAATTAAGTTATAATTACTTTGTATTGCAATTTATTTAAAAGTATCACATCTTTTTAAAATAGTGGCAAGTGTTATATTTGTTTTCATGACATTAACGCAGTTCTAGGTTTAACATAAATGACTGCTACCCCAACACTCCATCGGTAACCCCTGCGATACCTACGTCCCAAAGCCTTTCATTTACCAGGTGTGTAGAACCTAAATAATAGGCAATACGGTTGCCCGGAGTTCGTTGCATAGAGTGTGATCGAAGTCCGAAGCCAGCCCCCCGGGCATCCTCAAGACTATGCAGTATTCTCACTTACTCTACACTTTCTGAACCTAATAAAATTCTAGCTAAGATATATTTCAGAGATTTACATGGGGACCACCTAGACAGTGCAATGTCATACGAACAGGTATAACCTGCTACTTAGCTTTCCTGGCTTTAAATGGTTTTTTGTTTTGTATCTTACAGGCACATAGTATTCTAACCCGAGTGAGCAAGGCTAGGATTTCCATGCTTATACATAGCAATTACTCACAAGTATAATTGTAGTTTGCAATCTAGCTACATAAAAAACTACAAATAAATTTGTAGGATAAGTTTCGTTATTTACTAGACCTTCTCCTTCATATACAAACTTCCATTGAACAACCGAAGATGTCTGTGGTTTTATTCCCACCAAAAATCCAAACAATGATCTCACACCAGTTTCACACACTCATTGCCGTGCAGAAAGTTTTTTATGTGGTTATCTATACTCGGCGTTTTGTATTCAATAATATTACGGTAGAAAATATTTTATAATGATTAAAATAAGATTGATAGTTTAGATGCTTTTTATTTAAATTAATTCAAAAATATTTTATGTTTTGAACTAAGATTGATAGTATTTGTATGCTTTTTAGTTTTAAATATTAATGGTTTTAAATAAGTTGTATAATTTTTTTGCACAGAAAAAATCTAATGAAAAAATATTAAGAGTATTGTTTGTATTTTTTTATTGGAAAATTCTATTCTTCTGGGTCTAATGGCAAAGACTTTTCAATAAGTTCCTCACATAGTAATTCAGAGGCTTCATCACGAAAATTATCTCTAAATTCGTTAAATGTCTTATCATGATCTGGAACCGGACAATATAAATTTATATTTATTTCGGGTGATAGAAAACATTCTGTAATAAAGTCATGTTTGAGGGCATCTGCAGTATCTATTCTGGTTTCAGGGTCGTATTCTAAGAATTTTTCTAAAAGATCTGCAAGTTGAGATGGTATTGTTGCAAATTTGGCTTCGAATGGAATTTTACTATATAGCGGGACTCTATATATTAAGTTTTTCATTGAAGTTGATGCGTAATTTCTTATATAATCGTTAGAAGGTGTTCCGTTCCATTCAAAAATTATTTTTAGTTGGTCGTAGTATGTATTTGAGGCAAAAATCGGTTTTTGAAATAGAATTTCACCAAGTATGCAACCAACACTCCACATATCTATTTTATAACTATAATGGGGATACTTAAATAGAAGCTCGGGAGCCCTATACCATCTGGCAGTCACATAAGTACTTTTTATATCGCGTCTATCGCTATAAAAATTACTTCTGGCCATCCCGAAATCGCCAATTTTAACATTCAAATTACAATCTAGAAATATATTATTTGGTTTCAAATCTCTATGAATAATACCTGCTTTATGAATGAATGCCAATCCTTGTAATATTTGAAAAAGAATATATCTAGTTTCATTTATGTATATTTGATCTCTTTTTTGGATAAAAATCAAAAGATCTTTTTCAATATATTCTTGAAATATAAATCTAATTAGAAATATACTTACAATTCATAAAAATCATTATTTTCTGGTACACATATTTGCCATATTTGTACAATCTAATTAGGAAATAGAAACACTTACATTTTGAATATTTCTTAAATGTTTAAGAATACGTATTTCACGTAAAATTCTTTTTGCCAACACATGCGAATTATAAAAATTTACTCGTTTGATCGCAATATAATTTTTTTTGAATCGATCAAAAGCCAAACATACTGATCCATATGTTCCTTTACCAATATGCCCACAATATTCGAATCGATTATTTTTGTCAAATATTTCACTAAAATCTCCCGGTCTATTCATATTTGTTTCTTTGCTTGTAATCTAATTTATTTTATAAAAAAAATATTTATTTAATTAAACTTTTTTAACAAATTTATACGTTTGATTTGTTTATTTTCCTCAAAAACTGTTCTAGACTCATAAAATAGTTTTGAACAAAACAATTTATAAATTTGTTTATCAATAAAATTCGTTTTCAATTTATTCAAAAGATTAAATTTAATATTTTAATAATATCTTTGCCACAAAAAACATAGAAAGGATTTATTATAATACTTTTAATTCAAGAATAAGTATATTGACTAGAATTATTTTTGATCAAATTGATCTGAGTAGAATTATTTTTAATTAAATTGATCTGAATAAAATTATAATTTAAATAAAAATATTGTTTATTTAAATTTTGTAACTTCTTAAAAACCCAATAAAAGTATCTCAAAGTAACTTTATTTCAAATTTGAAAGAAAAACTTATCAATAATTAAACTACAACTCAATCATTCTAGCAGACACATTTCTGTTTTAAACGCAAGAAAAAAAGTTAAAATAAAAGAACAAAATATATTTTCTTCATATAAGCTACCTTAGTTTAACTTTATGATACTCACATAATCCTTTAAAATTACTTAAACTATAGAACAATTATTATTTTTAAATACCACATAAGCAAAATGATAATAAAACTATATTATGAAAATTTATTTGCTTTTACCTATTTGCTGAAATGATGCTTTTTTCTAAAACTATTAGAATTTTTTTTGGTAAAAACTTATTTTTGAGTAACATCAAATTATTCGAACAGATGATTTTTTTGAACGTATAATTTTTTAATTTCATTGAAAAACTATATTTTATATTTTTCTCACCCAAATAAGGTGAAAATTGTATGTGATAATTATGAGATTAGGTAATTTATTAAATGATTGACCAATCATATAATATGTCATATAATTCTACTTATTTGGCAATGATAAATTGATTGAAAATACGAATTTAATGATCACGTATAAATAAAAATGTGTAAATTTCAAATAACGGTGTCTTTTCATCAGAATTTTTATTTTAATAAGAAAAAAGAATTATTGTTTAATGTACATCTAACTGTCGAATTAGAAATCCCTAGATTTGTAAAGATATAATCTTTCTATGATTATTATAATTTCGGTTTGATACACAGTTATCAGTGACTTTTATATTCGAAAGAATATAACAATTTTCATACCTTTGAAATATTAGCACGTGAATAAATTACCTTGTCAAACCTGAAATATTTACAATCTAAAATGCATTTGGCTCGTTGAGAAAGTTATATTATTTTTAATATGAGATTTAATTATTCTTAAAACTTCTTTTATTTGATTACTATCGTAAGTCTGAGAAAAAATTAAAGTGGAGTATGTTATTTTAGATAAATTTTTTAAAAAAATTGTGTGAAATTTATCTTTTGGAAAATTTAAACGAATTTTCTTCACAAAATACTCATATTATTAACTCTTTCAATTATTACAGATACGAAAGATAATTTTTTACTTTCAAAGGCTGAAATTTACATTGTCTTAATTTAAAAGAAGAATGACAAATAATGATTTTATTATTGTACCTAATCAAGGCATTTTATTTCAAAAAATGTCATTATTTTTTAAATGTAGAAAGCAATAGATTTTTTTCTTGAAATTAACGCAGTTTTAAGTTTAAAATAAAAAACGCTACCCAACACTCCATAGGTACCCCCCTAATGATAACCACATCCCAAATCCCTGCTTCTAAAAGTGTCAAGAACCCAATTAATGGGCGAGTCGGGAGTCCTTATTTAGTTAATGTCTGTTACATAGAATATTATAGTTGGTTGAAACCAAAACTGGCATCCCCAAGACTATGCAGAATACCCACTTACTCTACACTTTTTGAACCCAATAAACATATAGATAAGATATATCTCGAAGATTTACATAGGGTTCAATTAAACAGTGCAATGTCATACCAACAGGTATGACTCGCTACTTAGCTCTCTTAGCTTCAGGGGGTTGTTTTTATATCTCACAGCCACTAAGTCTTATAACCTGAGTGAGCAAGGCTAGGTTTTCATGCTTTTGCATGGCAATTACCTACAGGTTCAGTTGCTGTCTGCAATCTAGTAACACAGAAAATTATAATAAATATGTAGAAAATGTTTGGAAATTTCGTAGACTTTTTGCTTCTCATAAAAATCTCATGAAACAACTAAAATTGTAGTATGGTTTCATTCCACCAAAAATAAAAAAAATGCTTTTCTCTTCAATTACACATACTCATCGAAAGAAGAAATTTTTTTATGTGATTATTCTTCCTCCATTCTACTAACTACTATCAGTAAACATAAAATAAAAATCATAAGAAAGAACGAAATTAAAAACTATGGTTTTAAAAGTATGATTTTTAAAGGATCAAAAAGTACCCCACGAGGGACTCGAACCCTCGGCCCCCCGGTTAAAAGCCGGATGCTCTAACCGACTGAGCTAGTGAGGCTTAGCTTAATCTAACAAAAATAAATTTACATTGTTATATATTTTACATATGAAACAAAGATAATATAAACAAAAAACAAAATTACATTAAATAATAGATAAGTGAATCCTTCTTTTCCACAGATTTATGTGAACGAATAATTACAAATCAATTTTAATTTTTTTTACGATTGTATAGTTGTTACTGGGTATTTTGTTCTTTATTTTAGCTTTATTCTAAGTTTTTTCTAGTATTAAAAATTTTTATCTTTGGACTATTTTTTTACACCGATTCGACACTTTTTTTTAATTTATTTGGTGTTTTCTGATTAGAATTTATGATATTTTATATTGCGCGTATCTGAAGTCATTCAATGTCTTTCCTCATCTGAAACTAACACACCTACTGTTTCTCAGATTTTCATATCAGCTTTTTTATTTTCTAAAACGTTTATTTCTTTAGACAAGAAAAAACGTTTCACTTCCTCTTTACGCGAATTCAACTTATGAATTGCAAAAATTAAAGCCTACTTTTCATACCATGGAACCTCAAAATTAAAGTGATTTCTTTCTGCTCAAAAAATTTAAAAGAAACAGTTCATAGTTGCTAATAAGTACTACTAGATTTATCTCCTAAAAATAAATTGTAGTAACAAACTATCGGCTTACAATTTAGTATAATAATATTTTACTAATGATTGGTATACTCTTTAACAAAATGCGAAGTAATTTACTTTTAAAAAATCAAATATATTGATTATTGTGGTTTATATTAATTAAAAAATTTTTTTGAATTAAATAATATATGAATTTATTGTTTTTATGATAATTCGCTCTGTCATTTTCCATTTAAAATTTTTATTTCAATTTGTATTCGCTGTCTTATATTTTAGATTTTAAAAAGAGAGTACGAATTTTGTAGCGAATTTTATGTTTAAGTAATTTATATTTCTTGTAATACCTTTATCTTTGGATTATGGTTTTTAATTTATTTTTTGTCATAAAAATGGTTTCTTCCATTATTTGTATGTGGTATATGCATATTTAATAATTCGCTTGCACATGCTAACATATTTATTTTAATGTCTATATTGATTAAACTTCATCTTTTATGTAAGGAATGATAAGATTATTGCATTTCTGAATATCAAATTGGTCTTTTATAGCTAGCAAATAATTCTTAATATTTATAATTGCATATAATCTGTTTTAGATAATTAAGTTTATTAATCCATATTGCTTCTCCGTCATGCTGGAAGTAGAATTGGCTTGGAATTTCCCTGCTTGTCGTAAGAGGCGACTAAGAGACCAGTTCTTCAGGTTGGAGGAAGTTTCTGGGCCAACAACCCACTCTTTTAAACCACTTTGTTACGAAATCCAGAAAAGTATACGAACCTACTCGGAAGAGACCGGTGAGCGGCATTTCTGAGAGAGGCCAAGGCTCGTGCAGGGTTGCAGTGCCGAAGATGAATATATGAATCTATATTCAATTTTAATTAAAAATACAGCATAAATGTTTGATTTAGTTATTTAAGATTTTTTGTAAGTTCTTGTCATGGTTTTTATTCTTATTTCGACATACCACACATGCTTCACAAAAAAATTGATTTTAGTTGACTTTGAAAAGTTTTATTTATATATTTTCTTTGAAATAAAAGTGTGGTTGTTTATTTATTTCCCCGTCGGTTTATTAAAAGTATGAATAGCATATATTCAGATCAAATATAAATATATACTGGTCTTTATAAACATCGATTATTTCATATTAATCTATTTGTTATTAAAACAAGGCGGAGAGTGGATTTCCACATTAAAAACTATCTGCTTGACAATGAGTGTCTAGAATTGTTTGAAAATCATTATTGGGATTTAGGTGGGATATAGCCACGTCGGAACTATAGGTCAGTCCCCCATAACCCCGAGTTATACCGATCAAAAGAAACACATTTTAAATTTTATTTGTTCATCCTGGACATCGAGAAGCAAAAGAGGACAGAAATATGTAAGTAACTTATTAAAACAAATGTTCATCCAAAACCTTTAGTAGGTAAAAAATATAACTCCACATTAGTATAGAAATGAAATTAATTTTGAAATGTAATTTAAAAAATTCTTTACCACATAATTTAGTATTAAGAGAATATTATAAAAGAAGAGAAATAAAAATACAATTTTTTCAATAAAAAGTGTTTTAAAAAATATATAATAGATTTATAATTCTTCTCCCTTCAAAAAAACACAAAAATGAATTACGAAAATCCATATACAAAATCTAAACCGTATTTTACTGGAAATAGAAGATTTAAAGCTACAAAAGATTTGCTTAAAAACCAAAAGAATCTAAAAATGGAAAAAGTAATAATAAATAAAAGCAAATTGGATGAGGAAGGATGGTATAATATTAAAACGCCGTTACTAACTGAACAAGTGGAAAATGACTTATATTATATTAAAAATAGAGATATTTTAGGGGATGGGAGTGCAAAACAAGTTAAAGATTTAAAAGTGTTTCATTTGGGAAAATATATTAATTAAAATATTGCAAATTAGAAAAAAAAATTAATATTTAAATTATTTTTAATTTTGGTTTAAAAAGAAGAAAAAAAATGTTTTAAATTGAAAAAAAATTGTCTTTCACACTTATAAAAAATAAAATGCTATTAATTTTTAAACTGAAAAGAATTCTAACAATTTAAATGTGGCAATATGATAATTTAAATAAATTTATAAAAGTAAATATTTTGACTTTTTTCTAGATGAAAAATTAAAATCCTTTGCATTTGTTGTATAATTGTTCAAAATATTTCCTTTTTTTCTATTATTTCCCCAATTTATGACTCCAAATAGAATTTATATTTAATAAAATTCTGGGTTAAAATATTTTAACATTTTTATATGTTTTCTTCTACCTCTTTAACCACTGTTGTCTCTTCTTCCAAATCCGACTCTTTATTATTGTTATTGGTCAGTTCCTCTAAAGTGGTTCCTCCTTGTGAAATAAGGGGTGTATTATTTTTTGGTTTTAAATTTTTTGCACCATCTTCCTCTCTTTTCGCTTCTTTTAAAGGGGGTGTTGGTTCCTCAAGCACCTCTGACCTCATTTGATGGTAAATATTATAAATTATTAAAAAACTGCAAGTCGCTTTTTTTACAAACTAAATTCTTCAAGTATACTAAAAAAATTTTAATTTATTTAATAAAATTCTGGGCTAATAAATTTTTTATCTTTTAAATGAATTTTTGCACCTTTTTAAGCACATCACTGTCTTTCTTTGAATCCGACTCATTATTTATCTTTACTTTCGGTTCCTCTAGTGTGGTTCTTCCATCTTAAATAAAAAGTATGTTATTTTTTGGTTTTAAAATTTTAATACCATATTCCTCGTATTTACTTGCTTCAAGTGTGTTTTGGTTGTTTATGCAATTCGGCCCCTTAATAACACATAATGAAGCTCTTTCCCAACACTCTTCGGCATTTAGTCTCAACTCAATTCCTCTTCGTCGATCAAAGGAAATTTTTTTAAATATCACATAACTTATGTTTCAAATTAAATTGACAAGAAACTTATAAGTACATATTTAATCGAATGTAGTTAAATAAAAAGGAATTATTTTCAGTAATCTACATAAATATCTTAAACTTTTGAATTTTTTTAGTAAATAAGCTGTAAAAATTCATAAAAACATATCGAAGGAAAAATTTAATTTAATTTTTATTCATTTTGATACATACTTCAAATATAAATACTGTATAGTTAATACATATTTAACTTATATTGAATGCAATACTCGGCTTTGATCGTTATTGGTAAAAAATCGTAAAAAAAATATTTATACTCATTTGAAAATAGCAAATACTGAAAACCCTTTTACTATAAATCTAAAATTAATGTATTATGTTAATGAATTTAATCTTTAATTTTGAAATAAAACACATTTATTTGAAAAAGATCACTCATACCTTATTTAGATTCAAAAGGGATCTACTTTACGGTTTTGTTTGAATTCTTGCTTATATTAGATTCTTTTTTAATTTTTAAGCTTTAATTTGATTTGGGTTTTTTAATTTTGCACTTTATCGTTCAATTTTGGTATTTATTTGATCAAAACATTTCTTTTCATTTTCGAGAATGGATAATAAAGAATGAATTTTACTGCGTTTTACTCCATCTATTGCCCAAAGGTGCCCTTTCGGCTCTCTTTGCATTAAGATATTTTTTGATTACTAATATGATTGATTTTCCCCATTCCGAGAGTAGAATTGGCTTAGAGTATTCCCTGCTTTACGTAAGATACGACCAAAAGGAACTGGTTTTCCAGGTTGGGCGTAGAGCTAACAACCCGCCCTTTAAAACCACTTTGTTAAAAAGCCAAAAAATGTAAAGTAACCTACTGAAAAGAGACCGGCGGAAGGATTGCTGAAGGAAGCTAAGACACGTCCAGAGCTATGTGCCGAGTATATACGAATGAATGAATTTTATTCATCATTATCAGGCGATATAATAACAATCAATGTTATCAAACGAAAAAAGAATCTTTTTTAAATTCAAATAAAATTAACAAATATTTACAAAGATTTATTTTTCAAACAAACTTGTTAGGACGTAGGTGCTTTTGCCAATACAGGAATCAAATATGGTATTTTTTTATAACATGAATATACTATCAATCCAGCTGTTACGACGGCAAAGCTGATAGACATCGCAGTAAAATATACATTTAAAACGTTTTCTTTCTTTTTTTGTATTCTTGATAAGACAATCTCACATATTTTACAAATCATTGCCACAAGTACAATTAAGGTCATATAATTCTTTCCATATGTATTTAATACGATCGCGGATGAAATACACAAGAAGTATATTAGGTTGAAAAGGCAATCTTGTTTTGTCAAATTTCCTGACCTAGATATCAAATCGTATATATTAAATACAAATGTAGAAATAGCAGCAATTTTTAAGGATGCATTTTCTGTATTTGGCGGTATTTGATAAGAATAATATACCAAAAAAGCACTGATCG